CAGTAACTTATTAATATTCGTCTACTTTTTTTTCATTTTTCTTGTTTTTTTCAACTTCATTTGTTATTTGTATTTAAAATGACTTTTTAATTACAAAATTAAAAATAGCCAAGAAATTTTGCAACAGAATACAGAAAATATTATACGTTGATCTGAACTCTCCAGTATTTAGATTCGCAGTTGAATGCAAACCGGGTCTGAAAATAAATCACATATAGACCCGGATCCAGGCCCGGACCTGGGTGATATCAAATTTCTAGAACCGGACCCGGACCCGGGTGGCATTAATTTTCTGGACCCGGACCCGGGGTCCGGGTCCGGGTCTGGACGGACCCGCTACTCTCTACGACAGACTCCATCCGTGAATCCAGAAAGTTTTCGACTCATACACACTATATATAAGTCTAGCAGGCCTAAACTCATATATCCTTGAACTCAATAGAATATAGTAAAATATTCATCCGTTTCTACTTTCGTCAAGAATTTTCATTGACATTTGTCTCTGGAGCTATATTCTTTGCTTTTATTTGAAAGATATATATAAATTCTATAAGACTGAAATTCATATCTATCAAACATACATTCTTAATCGCGTCAAATTCTGCAAGTTTTGATTCCCGTCGTTGTCGTTCTTCTTCAGATTCTTGTAACAATGATTTCTAAATATAACAAAATTGATACTAAGCTCCAATTAAAAAACAAACAAACTAATCTTACTGGATCAGGAACAGCATAAAGATGGGCTAATAATTCTTTAGCTACAAATTTTTGTATCTAAAATCAAGAACAAAAAAAAAAAAATAGATAATAAATTTTTCAAGAGAAAACAAAAATAAGTTCACTAACACTTTGAACAATATGATACATAATTGTTTTTGGAATGTAATCACGTGTCATTCGAGCAACTATTTGCATATATGAAGTTACTAATTTATTTATCGTTTCAACTTGTCGTTCCATATGTGGATCAACAGGACCAACTTCAGCTGCTACCTATGAAGTTTAAAATAAAAATCATTTAGAAAAACAAAATTTATCCTTCTTTTTTTTAATTACTTGTGGATCTTCTGGTGGTTGTTCACGTTCTGGGTAAACACCAGCACGTAAAAATGATGCTTTCCATGTGTCAAGTTCTTCAGTATTATCAACCGATAATTCAAGAGTTTTATGTTCTTTATAAACATTTCTAAATAAAATTTTTTTATTATTGACAAAAAACAACATGACAAATCGATAAAGAATGACTTACTTTGCTTCGATATTAAATATTGCAAATTGTGGTCGTTTTGCCATAAAACCACCTTCAACATCACGAATTTTAAGATTTTCTAATGGTAACATATATTTTTTTTCTTTTTCCTATAAAATAAAAATTGAAATCTCAAAAACAAATAATTTTATTTTATTTCATACATCAGAATCTGTAAACCAAGAAAGATTATCGGTTGATAAAACAAAGAAATAATCTCTTGCTTGAAATAATTTAACACCAGTATGAACACGAAGAAATCCTCTACGAATAACCTAAAATTAAATAATTTACATAAATAAAGATTATTCTATGAGAAATGAATATAAACAACGATAGCAATGGTAAAAAAATAAAAATAAAATAAAATAAAAACAAGACAACAATTTTACGCGAGACTCTCTACTAAAAAGAATTATCCAGATGAATAACGTACTTGACCCTATAAGAATAAATTTGTATTAGAAATGCTTATCGATCGACAGGTCAATAGAGCAGGTCAAATAGTCAAAACAAGAAAAAGAATTTTACCTGATTGGTAACAGTTCGTTTGGTTTCACCAGCAGCAACTGTTTTTTCAGCACTAAAAAATAAATTCAAAATTAATAATAATAGAACACAGCGATTCACATAATTATCAATTTTAATATTAGAAGATATTTGAAGGTAGCACTCTTCAAGTTAATCATACAAAGAAAAATAGAAAAAAGTATTTCCTATACTCGCAGCAAGTACTCAAATACGATTAGAAGATATTATTGAGAGAATCAAAGTACGATTCAACCGGATCAGAAAAAGTTCAATTAATCGGGCCCGAATCTCAGAAACGTTCAATAAACCGAGTGTGGGTTGCAGTGCTCAATGAAATTCATCTGGTCTAAAAAAACTTAGCTCCTTCACACTCTATTGTGAGTATAGTTCGATAGTTGCAAAAATTACCCGAAATCGCGGTTCCGGTTCGTTTTCTAAAATATCACGCGAAACTCAAACCAATAAATCATCAGATACATAAGAAAATTTTAAATATATTTGACATAACTTTTACTATTGAATTATTGAGATAAAATCGCCACGTATTTTAGTACTTAAATAAAATAATATTAAACAAATATATAGTGAAATCTTTAATCTCAAGCATAAGAAAATGAAGATTTTTTTTTTGTGTCTATATGATGATTTAACGACATCCGATTTCAGTTCTTTTGAAACCACTAAATTCTAAATGTGAATTCTTTATGAGTAATCGTATTTCTATTCAATCATGTGTAATCGTAGATTTGACATTCGATTAAATCAATTCGAGATTAGTTGAAAGCTTCACTTTGAATAATGACAGGTTCAATAGACACGTCTTCTCGTTCATATAGTTTTGATTAATCTAAACGTATTCTTTTTCTTTTATTATTACAACTCATATGTATATAAGCATATCGCTTTTAGACATAAGATTTAATCTGGTTAGTGTTTTTTTTAAAAAGAAAAAGAGCATTTCATTATCAAAATTTTATTCGTTGAATATTAGACACAAGAAATTATCTATTTTGTTATCAAAGCTTCTTAGTAAAAGATAAATTGTTTTCTTTAATATAGTGAATATTAAAAGTGATATAGAAGAAAATTAAAGGACATATTGTTTTAAAAAATTGATTTGAAAACAATATTAAGAATAATGAATCTGTTCTACGAGGGGGCATTTTTGTGTATGACTACACTCCGGAAACAAATATCATTTCTTACATCAACCTCTACACTAATTAAAAGTCATACTATTACAAGTTTTCTAATAAAAATTTTATTCAGATAAAATTCGGTTGTTTGCCTTCATATGTCATTCGCATCAATAATCATTACTATCATGTCACTAGTTTTTCTATTCAATCATATAAATGAATAACAAGAAAGATATTAAAAACATCTGGAAAATTCGATTGATGAGAGAAGGTAACCAAGTGATAAATTACTTTTAAGCCAGAATTATATTTAATCGATAGGATCTGGTAAGTAAATAAATATCCTAGCATAGTTCGAGCTGCTAAGTCTCTGTTGATGAGATATAGAATTTTTTCTACAAGTGGAATAGATCGTGATCTTTAGCTAGATAAAGTTTCAGATCGAAATTCAAAAGTACCATTTTGCTTTTAAACTGGATCTTGCAGAAAAAAAAATTGATTAAAAATTCAATATCTCAGCAATACAAATATAACAGTTTAAATTATTCTAGCATATCGACCTAATCATTAGCTCCTATCGATTGAATACAGTTACAGCTTAATAAGTGATTTATCACCTGAAGACTTTTTCTCGTGTGTATTATTCCTGATTACAGTCCCGCTCGACTGAAACTGATACAAGTCTACTGTTTAAACGACATAAAATGTTATTATCAGCATTTTTCAAAAAAAAAAAATACTTGTGTAAGAGTACTCTTATTTGCAATCAATGAATGACTGTTGAGTGATAAAAAAAAAAGAAATTAGAATTACAATATCTCACAAATATAATCATAAAAACATATTAAAAAAACATATCAGAAGCTTATGCTAATCTACTATCAATATAATCCCCTTCAGATTGTATTATTAATAATAAGTACAGTTCTTTTTTTGTTCGCAAAAGAAAAAGAAATAATGAAGGATACTTACCCTGCAAATCCAATAAAATCTTCGTTATTTGTATTAATGTAAGATAATTGAGTTTGAATATAAGTGCCACAAGCTTGTTTAGTTGCAATTTCACGTTCTCGTAAATATTGTGTTAATAAATCTTCTGTAGTTTGTCTTAGTAATGGATAACGTTTCATCTTTAATACGAAGAAAAAATCTTAAAGATGAACAAAATATTTAAATAAAAATCTTTTTACTTTGTTCGTTGATTCATGAATAATAGAAAGTAATTCTGATACAACCATATCAACACATTTCATAACTGGATCTTCAAATTTAGATATTTGCATTTGTACAATATATTCAAATGCTTCATCGGGAGTAAAAAGACCCGATCTATAAATAATTCAAAATAAAATAACATATTTTATACAACAAAAACAAATACCGAAAACCACGAATATTTTTAATTGCAACTATTGTTTGATTACGCATATCTTTATCTTGTAATTCGGTCTATAAGATATATATATATATATTATTTTTTGTTTCAATTACTTAAGAAAAACAAATAAAAAGAATTTTGTTTTTGTTTTTCTGCGTACTTTGACTAATTCAAATGGAAAACGTTCACGAAATATGTTAGCAATACGTGCACCACCAGTTAATGTTTTTAAATCAGCTTCTTTCAAATGTGTACCCTGTAACGCTGTGTCAAAAGTTTCATGTAATTCATGCGTTAACCTAAAACAACAAAAGAAAAACCTGTTAGCCCAATGCCTATGGGATTAAAATGTGAAACACGGTGTAGCTATTCTTGTTAATCACAGGATATTGCTTCATTCTATCTAGTTTATGAGATATTTCTTCACTAGCTAATTAATTAATTCGCTAAAAATGTAAAAAGTAGTTTATATACTAGAGTGAAATTTTAATCATGTACAGTCTCTCATGGTATATCAACAACGGCTGTCAAGAAGCGGAGGAATGTTGCTAAGGTGTATATCCTAGTCTGTAGCGATCTTTTGCTAGAGCCTGTCACGGCTTTAAACAGTCTCTGATGATTTTCAACTATTCTCTATTGCGTTCTGTGATACTCTTTGACTAGCGCCTGTCACAGTCTCTGAGCAGAAAGAAGTCCGAATTTTTATCCTTATACTTCAAGACTAGTTTTAGATCGTGTTTCACAAAAGAATAAATTTTCTGTGTAATTTAATATTTCATATCTCATATTACCCAACAAGCGCTTTTGTATCCGAACTTGATGAAGTTTCAAACATAGCTGATGCACGATATTCAGCAACTTCTTTTGCTAAATCACGATGTCGACCTTGTAATTCTCGTTGTAGATCAGGTAAACATTTAAGTATATGTTCAGTTAATTGAAGACTAAGTGACCGTTGTAAATATGGTACACCTAATCGATCAGCAATATCACTAAAAAACAACAATAATAAATTACAAAAAAAAAAAAAAATATTTATTAATATAATTTCTTTACCGATATGCTGGATCATTTTGAAAAAATTGGCGTTCATTTTCTAATGCAGCCGGAATGTCTAATTCTTTTGATGCTCGACCAAATTCATCAAGACGTTGGCCACGAAGAACAACACCAATAAAACCTATATTATTCGTTAAGAATATTATAATTAATTAATTATTTTTTTGTTTTGTTTTTGATTTACCTCGTTCGAGAACAACAACTTTGTTTAAAAGTACATCACGAGCATTATGTCCTTTGCCCATCATATCAAGTTTAGTTAATACACCAATTGTACGTTTACCCATTGGATCTCGACTACGTGCCATAACTAAAGCATCTGATGTAACAAGATCTATATTAGCTGGTGTAACAGCTAGAATAAGACAATTTTCATTGCTTATATATTCGAGAATAATATCATCGATTTTTTTCACAATATCCGGAGGTTGCCCTTGAGCTGGAACTTTAACCATGCCTGGTAAATCGACCAGAGTAAGATTAACAACTAAAAATAAATCAAATGTATGTGCGTCTTTTAAACTAATAATTAATGTCAATTATCAATTACATGTGTTTCATCGGAAATGAATAATCATATTGAAGTCAATGTTCATCTAATTTTTTAGACTGACAAGAATACAACTAATCAATAATGAAATTAATCGAAGTTTCTTTCTTTCTTTTTTACAATGAAATCATCTTCTGCTATTGATTTACTACGTGATAAAAATAGAAAAGGAAAATCTATGAACAAAATATAGCTAATCATTTATCATTGTCAATTTTACTGAAAAGATGTGACAATGTACAATGAGTTTCTTTTTTTTTTTTTGTTGACACTTGCTTGTTAAGATATATACAATTCAGATCTTTGCAAGTTGTCAATGCTCTTCTCATAGAGACAAGAGATTGTTTACGTAAATCACTTATGATGATATCGTATGTTTTGAAAAATATAGTATAATAATGTATTTTTATTAATATTCGTATTGCATCAGATGTGAATTCATGATTTATTTCCAATAGAAGGTAAATAATGCAATGTTGAATAAGTTTAGAATACAATTATAATTTACTCTACTAGGATGTACAAACTGAGAAAGTGTTCAGTCTTCAATAATCTATTATTTTGATTTTAAAAATCGTTCGGTCAACCTATCGATAGTTTTTCTAATTTGAGCGACTCGAAAAAAGACAAAATTTATTGAATAGATACGTTTGTTCTAATTTTTATATGAAGTAAAATTTCATAGGTTATTTGCTTTTTAAAATTATTATATCTTCAATCGATCATCCTTCTTTTTAATCAGTTAGACAAAATCTAATTTCGTTTTAAAATATCGATAAAATTTAGGTTAAACCCTTTATCTTTCAAACTTCATGTATTAGAAATTCTATAGAGTGTATTCGACAAAATCTCCCATGAGTATATACATGTAAGTAATTTTATCAAACGAACGTTTATCGTATACAATTGTCTAAAATTTTGTTCATCTTATTAGTTATTAATGTATGTAAAATGAAAAACTTGATATAGATATAGACTAAAAAAGAACAATCATTAATCTTAATGCTTAGTATTACCATGTGGTGAAAAAATTGTTAAATTAATTGGCATATTTGATACTCCCAAATCATCTCGTACAACAGCTTTAGTATCATTTTCAATTTCTGCTCGAACATCAGCATAATTAATAAATCTTTGTTGTGGTTTATGTCCAAATACAGCATATTCTAATTAACATAAATAATAGTATATTATTTTGATTGTTATTTTCTTTTTTTACAAATTACCTTGTCCTTGTGATGTTATCAATTGCAGCACAAGCGGTCGTTTTGTAACCATGTTTCCACCACGAGGAAGAAAATCACTAGAAAATAATATGATTAAACAAAAAAAATAAATAAATATATATATTTAATTAACATACCGTCCAACAATATTTTCAAGTACAGAACTTTTACCAGCTGATTGAGCACCAACAACTGCTATCTGTGGCAGTGTTAATGTCAATTTTGCATTAACTGATGTAAATATATGTTGAAGTTGATTGATCATCGGAATTAATAATTCCATATCTTAAGAAGTAAAATTTAGTTTTTTTTTATTTAAAATAAGATTCTTAAATATTTACTTGGATTTCCTGCATGAGTCGCCATGGCTAGTTCTGAAAAAAAAATAAAGAAATAATATTATCTCGGCATATATCAATAATAAATGACGTTTCTCTATTATGTATTTTTTGTACCCTATCGTAAAAATATTATGATATATCTACTAGGTGAGTCAACTCATTTTTTATCCTCACATCAAGTGTACGAACGAATGAATGATCACTATTTTAATGGTGATACGAGATTGAGTCAACTGTTATTTAGTTGTTTGTTTATTTGTTTTCTCGGATACGATTTCCAATAGAACAAGAGAACAATCTAGATGGCGCTTATTTCAATAGTAAAGAACAATTTTTTTAAATTAAATATTTAACAAACTAAAACAAAAATCAATAATGATAATCGTATAAATCGACAAATGTTAGTAATTATGATTAAATATTCTAAGAAAAAAATAACGAGCGAATAAATCTATAAGTGCATACTATTAGGTTACATGAAAAAATACTATGCGAACACTTGACTGATATGTAAATTGAAAAGTATGTATCGTTTCTTTTCTTTACGGATTTGAGTCATCGTTTTATATATAAGAAGAAAAAAAAGTCAGTGTTTGTCTTTCTTCTAAAGGTAAAAACAAAAATGGAAAGAAAAAGCTTGTCATACTTTTCAATGAGTAATCGAAAGACAAGTATTTATTTAACTAATTTTAATGCACTATAACAATCAGCCAGTCTGTTTACAAAACTTTATTTTTTATTTTTTCATTTGAAAAGAAAAATAGGTCGATTTGACATTTTCATAAATAATGTTTCAAATATTCTAAAAGTTTCAATTTTCTATCACATGTCAATTGACATTTCAAATGTGCGCACGTATTATATTGTAATAAATTTGATTTCTTATCTTTTCAACACACTTGATAAGGTTCTGTTGGAAATTGCAATTATATATAGATATACCGTTTTACCGATAAAACTTACATATATTTTTATATTGACAAATGAATTATTATAAAGGATTATCATATAATCAATTGTATACTACTACTTCTAAATTATATGCTTATGCAGAGTGATTATCTAGGAAGTAGTATTGAATGAATTTTATTTTTTTTTATCTCTCATGAAATCATTTATTAGCAAATAAATAAAAATCCCCGTGTGTGATTGTCATTTGAAATAATATGAATTTTAATTACAGTTGATGTCATCATTTCTTTAAGTTGATATCTTTTTTGAAATACAAATATCAAGGTTAGATAAAGCCTAAGCAAGTGTAAATTGAGATGATCTAATTTGTTTGTTTTTAACGATCTACGTAATTTGATTGTTCTTGTTTTTTTATAGTTATAGTTTGTTGATTATTTCCTTTATTCACATCAAGCTCTATTGTAATTGATTATTAAAAAAATTGCGAACAATTGATAATCATGATATATGTCCTACGTATTGATCAAGACAATCAATTCATTTCTCATTTGTTCTTCATGATAAATAAGCTTAATGAAATCTATGAATTTTTTTTTCTGTAATCTATTGAGCTTTAGCAAATTACCATGTATAAATATCCCTGAACAAAAGTCTTCCTTCACTCGTCTTTCTTTTCGTAAAGAACTCCATTGGTCTCAAGTGAATGTTAACTACAAGAATGACTCAAGTACTTTATTGTAGTGTAACGCATGATTGATCACAAGTCACTTGAATGATTAATATACGTCTTTCGATACAGGTGAGCAACGCTACAAATGAATTGACTAACAGATTGTTTCACAACTTGATTGTCTCCGTATTTTGTATCTGCTAATTGTTTTATGGTTTGAATCATCGAATTCTCTTCATCGCCGATTCGAAGTTCTTCCGAGTATGTGGTTCAGGCGATTATACAAATACAGATTCATTTGTAGTATTGAACGACATACGTTTTTATATTGAAGCAGTTTGTAATCAATCATACACTACACTAATATACATATAGTATTTAAAAGCCATTTTTGTAACCAACATTCACTTGAGATAAAAGGAGTTCAATATGAAAAGAATAAAGAGAGGAGGGATACTTTTGCCCATGGGTGTATTTAATATGCACGAATATAATGAAGTTCATCTTAAAAGAAAAAAGAATCTTTAATACAGAATACGTTGCCGGATCTAACAGGATCATTCAATGTTTTCATTATCTATTCTATACCACATGAATCGAAATAATTGAAGGAAAAAAAATTATTTTTCATTATCAATGAGTGTATTTTTATTAAAACGATGAATTTATTAGTGATCAATATAATTCATATTGAATCTTTTTAAATTAGTATCACACACATAAAAAAATATATTTACGATTATCGAAAGAACATATCTCGTTATCGGATATCGTCACTTCACTTTATACTGAAGGCTATGAGTAGCAGTCTGTGAGACTAATGGCAAATTAAAAGCATTGATGTCCGTAACCTACCTATGAAAGATTATGACCATTTTACTGGCAGTAATACATTATCGAGCAATCTTAAATACAGAGTTTTGACTTGATACTAAAGCTATAAATAGATATAATAATTATTAGATAGACCTGAAAATTGCAATAGTCATTTAACATACACATACACAATAACCCAGTTAACTTGAAAATTGAATAAATCGAGAAAAATGTGCTCGTTTTCCTTAAAGCTTTCATGACGATCTCATAACTATGAAATCTTATTTATAGGCATGACTTCAATTCAAAGCTCTATGGTTTAGGTTTTTCTTAGTCTCATAGTAGCCGATGGATAGTCATTCTATAAAATCGGACGACGTCTGAAAATTGAATATGTCTTTTTTTATGATAAGAATTATCTGCCTTGTAACCATATACCTGCGTAAGTAAACTTATTTCTTCTTTACAGCTCGATCAGTAATTTGTTTTTACGGAGATCAAATGAATACTAAAATGAATCAAATCAATCAATGACTATATTTACCACATCAGCACTGTCAAATAAATTCATTGCAAAATGTAAAACTTATTTAATAAATGAATGCGCTTTATTTTCTTTGAAAATGTAATCAAGCTATTTTGATCAACTCTTTGGCAGTGTACCTAAGTTAATTCTTGAAACTTATCAATCATTATTTCGTAATCGAATATCGGATGTACGAAAATTTTTCATGTCTCCTTCTATCAAAATCTCATTGGCATTATTTCAAAACTTTGTAACAATATGAATTCATTAATAAAATAAAAAATAAATGAATTTTTTCTTGTTCATTGACTTGGTGAGAGTATTATTCTATCAACATTATTCATGCGATGTGAAACATAGTATTTATGCAATCCTTTTTCTTTTTTCAACATGCACGTCAAAACTTGACTATATTGACGCAATCAATCAAAATAAATGTAATAATAAATTTACAATGGGAGATTACAAGTATTTTAAAGTTATATTAATCATTTTTTATTATGATTTTATATCGATCAATAATAGGCATATACGGATTTTTGAGTGAAAGGTCTATCACATCGTGACATGTTCTAATTAGTCGATCTTTTCCTATAATATGCATAAACATTTATAATTGTCATGAAAATGTTTTTTTTTTCTTATTTTCAAATATAATATTAATGTGATCTTTTGAAACATTTGCATCAACATGTTATCATATGTTGCAAAATGAATAACAATGCGCTTCGGGCCGATATTTACTATACATTATTCATAAGGATTAAGTGATGATTAGAATAAAAAATAAAACCTCTGTTATTTTTCTTTTACTTTATAACTTTTCATAGCTAATTCTGAGTAAAGATTCATATATCTTAAATTAATAATTGTCAGTTTTTCAGATTGAATTTGACCTTTCGAAGTTTTATATTCAAAACAATATAAAACATTCTATTGTTTTGGAGTCTTTGTAAAAATAAGAAGGAAGGACAGTTTTTGATTTGTTTTTTTTTTCTAACGCAATTCCAAATTTTCAATGAAACTATGGATATCAGTGTAACCGATCTTACGTTTGCACGTGTAGTGCAAATGTTTATCGATAATAACATGTAATCGTATCTATTTAAAATGCTATCCTTAGTTGCCTTTGACATTTTATACATCATATATAACTTCTATCAAATCTCCTGAGAATATGATTACAAATTTCTCTATGATATTTTTGATTGAAATGTGTTGTTCTAATTAATATGATAATTTTATTCCACATGTGTTTCAATGATTGTTTTTCTTTAACTTAGTTGTATAATTTTGAATTCAATTTATCTTGAAAATAATATTTTATACATGAAGAGTTAAATTTTCTTAATTAAAAAATTAATTAACATATATATATATATATATATGTTTGTTCTTGATTCAATGAAAATTTCCGTATTAATTATTGAATAATTGACTATTCAATTTAAAATACATATTAAAAAAAAAGAAAAAAGAAAAGAAAAATATACAAACATGTAAAATTAACATCCAGATAAAATATTGTCAACAAAGTCTTTTAAAATATCTAAATTAATTTGATCACGAACTTCAAGTGCTTTATGACCAAATTTTTCTGCTATTAAAATATTTCTCACATCATCATCTAATAATAAAATTTCATGTGGTTTTATTGTTTTACAACGTTTTGTTGCTAGTTCAGTAACAACAGATGATAAATGATATTCTTTTCCAAGAAAATCTTGTTCATTTATATTTGATACAAATTCCGGTGTATTACATCGTATTATAATTCTATCTGTTTTACTACAAAACAAAAATGCGAAAATAAAATAGAAGTTTAATTTTCAAACATAAAACAAAAAACAACAACTTACGCAGTTTTAAATGCTAATTCAAGTAATCTTCGTATAAGTTGTTCTTGTGATGAAAAAGATACAATACATATATGAAGTGTATGACAAAATGATGGTGAATCAAGAATTTCTTGAATAAAATAAACAAATGTTGATCGAAGATGTTCTAATAAATTATCAACTGTTCCTTGATAATAACCACTTGTATGTATTGATAATAATGTATTATCAAAATCAATAGCAATAAGTTTTATTTTTTTACGTTGTAAACATAAAACAACATCACGAGCTTTAGCACGTTGTTCAGCAACATATTTAGAACTACTTATACGTATTGGTAAACCATTCCAATTTTTATTTGTTTGTCTATTTGAATGTTTTATTTTTATGGGAGTCATTGGTTGAGATACTATAATTTTATTTGAATGAGGAACTTTAACTACACCAGACATGTCTATGATGAAAGTAATCTAAACAATTAATTGTGTGATGCGTATGTGCATATATCAATGAATCCGAGCAAAAGAGACAATCGATAGAACATCATTCACACGAATGCATACGTATTCGTCTATCTAGATAAAGGTAAATGTGGGGGCGATGTTTGTATGCGATATACACCCTACATATTTCTCTCTCTCTCTCTCTCTCTCTCTCTCTCTCCTTCCAAAGAGAATGAAATAAAGGTATGACAAACATACACGCGTTAGAATAAAGCTCATTACAGCCAGTGACGTACATTTGTGCGCGCATCTTTACTGATCAAAGAAATATACAAGGCTGCTTTAGTCACGAGCATTACCTTAGCCATAAATAAACATGTCATTTATTCCTATGAGAAAGATTAAACAACATAACTATAAATATATTTTTTCTTTTTTTAGTTTATTGCAGAAATAAAAAAAAAATACACTCTTATTTCAATAATATTGATAAAACGTCCTCAGGCTTCATAATACCTGATGAACCAATAATAATCTAAAAAAAGCAATTAGAATTTAGTCATTCTTCGCTTTTTTTTTTTGTTCTTACTTGTTTCCTTATTTGTTGACTATATTCATGAACAAGTTGAATTTCATGAGATGTTACACCACCAACAATAAAAATAACAATTGTGGAATAATCATTACTAGTTAAGTTTGGTTTTGTATCACCAAAGAATCTATTTATCAAAACAAAAATATTATGATTATTATTATTATTATTATACAATATTCTTCTTACCCTCTTGCAGCACTTTTAAAAAAATCTGTAAAACCATCAAAAGGTATATGTTCAATATCATGCATTAATTGTTCTTGTTGTGTTGTAGAAACATTTGTAGCACTAGATAAACGAGATGAAAGTGATGGTGATGATGATCCTGAACTTCCATGTCGTTTAAATAAATCAAATATTTGTTTCAGTAATGATTGTCGATAATTTGGTTGTTCATCATAACCATGAACAATAAGAGAACTATAGAAAGACATCATTTGAGTAATCATAAAAAGAAAACAAAAACAACAAACTTTAGATATTTATAACGTCGTTTATAAGATAATAATAAATCAAGTTTTTGATAGATTATATCAAGAGCATGTTCAATTTCTAATGAATATCCGAGAGCTATAAAAAATGAAGTTTTCAATATTTTTGTAAATTATTAATTCTTCTGTTACTTTTCATTTCTTCACGAAGAGAATTTGTAAATGATGAATCATTAAGAATTTCTTTTCCAATTAGTTTCTTTAAAATAGAAAATTTATTTTTTTTTTTTGGTTTTAAATTTTTAAAATTTACATGTGTGCGCTCTTTTTCTTCTTTACCATAAAAAACATCATTACCAGCAAGAGAATAGATATGAACAAGAAGAATAACATAATCAATTAATTTTAATTGACTAAAGATTAAGAAAAAAAAAAAAAAACAATAAAAAATATCTAAGAAAATCTACTAACCGTTGTTCTTCAGATTTCATTAAATCTTCTTTTAACGTTTGTAATATAATTGAAAATGGACTAGGACCAGCATTTGTTGTTAATGCTTGTACAAGAATCTAGAAATAATATTCAATTTATATTTAGAAGAAAAAAAGCTTTCTTTTTTTTTTTAAATTATTTCTTACTTTTTCAAGACCAATCAATCGTTCCATTTTCTGATTTTGACTAATAGAATCCATAAGTTGCATTAAACAACAAGATATGACTAGAAGTTCATAATTTTTACACATAACTTTTGGGGATTGTCTAGAATAGAAATTCATGAAATCAACAGAAAAGAGATTTTTTTGTATTTTTTACTTGAATTTTTCTAGACAAGCGCTAATAGCAGCAGCTGATACTTTCATAGGTTTTATTTTTGTTTCCAAATTATTATAGATAAGAGATTCAAGAAGATGAGTAAAAACTTCAGTTGTTGCCACCTTAAATAATGAAAAGAAATATTTCGTATATGATAAAGGAAGTCTCCATATTGGTTAATCGTTTTTGAATTGAAAGTATATGCATCATGTAGACTCTAATAACCTATCAATACTCTGAAAAAACTTCAGGCTTTTAGCTTATGACTGCCAACATATAGCATTTATACTATATTTTTGTATTTTCAGTCTTTTTCATGTAAAAATTTTTCAAAACCAAGATAATTCTTTTTATATTCCTAGAAAAGTTTTAACCACCGCTGGTCAATGCATTGGTTTACATTTCTAGTTGAAATTTTGCCGAGACAGACTTTAATGTGAATAGCTTATTCTGAAACTTCAGGTATTTTATTTTCTTCGATCTGGAAATAAGAACATTGGATCTATCGGTGTATATGACAAACGCAAAAGACAACCTTTTTACCATAGCTTTAAATTAGAATTGGAAGTATGAAAAGATATGAAAATTTTAAATTGGAATTTCAAAATCAGTTTTCCTAGTGTTTCTGAAGTGAGTCCCGACATTCATTTAAAAACTACCGTTAAAGTTCAGTATCTCTATAGAAATAAGCTAAGGAAGCGAACTTTTTTCAGGTTACTCATAACCAATTAAGATTTGCATGATGCACATAGATTCAATTCAAAAAACGATCAATCAGTTACACTTTCCTCATTAGATAAGTATAGATCCTTAAATCTAAAGAAAACAACGAACAATATTAAAGACTTACGAGGGAACATTCCCAACTGTTAATCGCCGATCGAAGTGATATTTTGCCCATAAGCAGGACTCAATGAGACGAGGAAAAGCCTAAAAGGATTCGTCCCCATAGGCCTTCCTTCTGGAATTATGACCATTTTACGAACTTTCCGGCTGAAGGCAAGCTATTCATAAAAAAGTCAAAAAGAAGGAATTTCCATCTGAAGTTTTGCCCATAAGTAGGTCTTATGATCTTTATGACATCCTGAAAGTTTCAGTCAAAATGGATGGTTCCTTCTCGAGATATAGAATGCTAAAGAAAAGTCGTTTTTATGATCTTTTTTGTGACATATGATCGTTCTTTTGAATATTCAATATCTCAAGAAGGAACCATCCGTTTTGACTGAAGCTTTTAGGATGTTCTAAAGATCATAAAACCTACTTATGGGCAAAACTTCAGGTAGCAATTCCTTCTTTTTCAATTTTTTATGAATAGCTTGCAATAAGTCCGAAAGTTTGTAAAATGGTCATAACTCCAGAAGGAAGACCTATGGAGACAAATCCTTTTAGACTTTTCCTCGTCTCATTGAGTCCTGCTTATGGGCAAAATATCACTTCGATCGGCTATTAACAGTTGGGAATGTTCCCTCGTAAGTCTTTAATATTGTTCGTTGTTTTCTTTAGATTTAAGGATCTATACTTATCTAATGAGGAAAGTGTAACTGANAAATATCCTTTATCTATTGTTATTGAATTGATATTTGATGTTAACGTTGAAATCATAGATAAAGAAATAGAATCGACAGTAAATATTAGATTACTAATTGACTTATGCACTTGTTTTCCTACAGTTTTTTTTTCGGGCAAGATTCCCTCATTTATGCAGGTCGCAATTATTTACTCGAGTAAAAGCACGTTCTTTCATTGCTATTAAATAATGTTTGTATTCAATGATTATTGATAAAATCATATCTATATTAATAGCTGGATCATTTCGAAATGAATTAGTTTGTCATAGGTTCAAGGGTTGATGACCATGATGTGTATCTAAGATTAGTAGAACGATCAAACATTATTTTAAATTGATGTCATAATCTGAATAGAACTTAGAATGTAAAACAATTTAACTACGAGATTATTTTTCTTACTCAAGTCCAAGCATTTTTCTATATGTTTTACAGTTAAAATTTTTATTTAAATGAAAAATGCAAAAATAAACACGAAGACTTTTTTTAATAGATACATATGCATCAATTCAATCGATTAGTATTGTAGGTAAACGAATAAAGTTTGAATAATTTCAATAAAACACTAGCGATAACAAGTGTGGGTTCTTTACGAAAAAGATCACATTCGATAAATCAGATATAGAACCGATGTGACCAATGACTGGTTTATATAATGAAACTTTATATTGTAGTGGACTCACGTAAATGACAAATGTATATCATGAATCTAGAAAATTTGGACGATTCTTTGAAAATGCTCAATATACGACTTTTCATTAAAAACCAACAATACTATAGAATATTCTCATATATATTGAATTTAATGTTGTCATTTTATTCATTATCGCTTTTCATATTTTAATCTAAAAACATAGCATATGATTTTGTTATTGATAAAAGTGATTTTATTGTAACAGTTTCTCGACTTATTTCTGAGAATAATTGTTACTAAATGAACGAATGTAATCTTGGTCGTTTACATATTGTTCTAAGAATATTATTGTTTTTTTTTTCTAATGACTGTTTAGTTTAAAATTTATGACACATATTAGAGATGCAACTGGTCTAGTGTTTTAATGATCAATACCAGTAAACAACGGTTTGACCGATAAAAATTGGTCACTAGTTCCAGTCTCATCTCTACAACAAATGTATCCATTATGTCTTTTTTTCGTAATTTTCCACTTTCAACTAACTATTTTTATTATACAGTTGATATTATTTTGAGAAAAATTTGTTCTCATTGAGTTTCTATCAATGATACGTATACAACGACACATGGAAGATAATAATCAGCCTATTAGAAGCATTGTAGAAAATATATTCTTTTTCCAATTGGAAGAGCAAAAGCAGGGTTGGACGAGCTAAGCTACTTTTCCAGTTGAGTTAATAAATTTTTCTTATTTGTTTGTTTTCTGTTTATTTTTACAAAGAAGATTAACAGCAAGTTTTTTTTTTATGGTACGATATCTAGTTTCTAATTTTTATGCAAAAAAATGAACTGTTCTCTTTGATATAGTTCCATAGCACATTAAAAAAGAACAATCTTGTTTTTTTTTTTATAAACAAAAATCTAAATTCGATGTTGTTTACAAAGAAAAACTTATTTATGAACATTTCAATTAATATCTTATCTTTCTAGTGGCATATTATTATGTGTCATGTCGATAATTTGATGATAAATAATTATATTGAATATACATCGATTTTAGAATGCTGTACCCACTATATCCGAACATTAAAATAAATCGGTTATATATGATTTGATTTTATATGCTAATGACGGAAGATTTTATGTAATCGAATGTAATTCATGTGTACATTCTACTATTATGGTATTTTATAATTATCCAAATGTTGTTGATGTTCATTCTCTATCTAGGCATTCCTCATGTGTTGTCCCTATGTCAACAACTCGATTAATTTATTGATTACCAAATGAATTATAGCGATTATATGGACGATTTCAGGCAACACGGGACATATTCAACGTTAATTTGACTTTGATTCTTTACAAGGATATTTTTTTTGAATAAATTCTTTTAGCATAGATATATCTAAAAATATGGATTCTTTCAGCTGAATATTAAGGAGAAATAATTAGCGAATATCTCTGTAATCATATGAAAAACAATATCGTATACTTCATGATAGATTCTATGGCATGAATCATATCTATATGATGAAGTTTTCAGCAAAATTAGACTCCAAAAAACTTCTTCTTAAAAATCTGATTTTCTAAAGATCGCATCAAGTCCTGTAGAAAAAATTTGACTCTTATCATCGTCTACAGACTCTGAAGAAGGATTTTTGTCATTTGGCATTAATTTTGAACATATCATTCGGTTATAAGAGCATTTTTTCTTGTTGGTATATTCGTACTCCATCACGTCGTTAACATTAGGTTTTCATTGATAAGTCCTCTGAACAAAGATCTTTAGTGTTGATTTTTAAAATAACTTATAAAATGTAGTCCTAAGAAAGTTCATCATCTTAAGATAAACATGTATTAATATTGCGAAGTCGCATTGCTGACAAATATTTGATCCATATATGAGCATATCCATCGGAAACATACCACATTTACATCGAAGTTCGGCGCCAGCGGTGGGACCTAGTGTATCTTCTAGAGAATTTTTTTCTGATTAAAACGTACAGACTGAAAAATAGAAGACTGATGTGCGACTTGAAATAAAGGCAAAATACTTTTACGTTGATAGTGATGCCATCTATCATATTTTCCTGATAAAAATGACTTTTTTGATGCTGCCTCAAATGAACTATTCCCGCTTAGGTTCTGTCTATATCGGCATCAACCTAAAGCTAATAACTAACCACTTCATTTGTGACAAGATCAGCTTTGCTATACGTGTCTGTGTTGAGAAAATCAATTTTGAACGAAGACTATTTTTGTCTTATTTAATTGATTTTTTTTAATCATGGAGAGTAATATCACTGAAGCAATGTGTATAAAAATTGTTTTTCTCAACGAATAGATAGTTTTAAAAGAAGAAAATTAATCAGATGCTTGTGCGATATTGCAAAAGGGCATATTTTAAGTTGTCTATTTCATTAATGCAGATGTTAGGACAATAAACATAGTGGAGATATCACATGAACTTTAATATGTCATTTTGCTATATCACATAGAAGATATGAATTACTTTTTCTCTTTCAGAACTATCTATTCACTCCGAAAAAACTATTTCTATATACATTATTTCAGAAATATTACTGCCCATGATTGCTAAAAAATCAAATAAATAAGAAAAAACTATCCTTCGTTCGAAATTGATTTTCTCAACATAGGCACGTATAGCAAAGCTGATCTTATCAAGAATGAAGCGGTCAACTATAAGCTTTACGTTGATACCGATATAGATAGAACCTAAGCAGGAATAGTTCATTTAAGGTAGCATCAAAAAAGTCATTTTTATCAGGAAAATATGATAGATGCCACCACTATCAACGTAAAAATATTTTGCCTTTATCTCAAGCCGCACATCAATCCTCGATTTTTCAGTCTGTACATTTTAATCAGAAAAAAATTCTCTAGAAGACACACTAGGTCCCGCTGCTGGTGCCGAACTTCGTGTAAAAAGTGGTATGTTTCAGGTGGATATGCTCATATTTTGAAATATACAGTCAAGAAAAAAAATCAATTTTTTTATGATAAAGAAGAGATATAATCATGAGATGATTTACTATTATTTTTATTATATGATCATATTTATATATTTTATCTTTGATTTTTTTTTTGTTGAAATCATGTTTATTGTTGTATTAGTAAACTTAATTGATTTTTATCATTTTATGTTATTGTTTTTTTTACGATTCTTGTCCTTTCTTTTTGTCATTCGCGAAAAATATATAATATCAATTTCAAAAGTTAATTTAAAACAAAAGATTAATATCACAATAGAAAAATATTGACTTATATTCTTGAATAGATGAATATAAAAGAACAATAGATCGATAAGTGATTTAAGACAATTGTATTTTAGAATGATTCGAATAACTATTGTCGCTATTATTACTCTTTTTTTACAACAATATATTGAAATAACACAAGCAGGTAAATATATTAGTATCCAATAGTTTATCAATGTTTATATTTCATAGTAACATGCGCAAGTAATCCATGTGGTCTTGTACCTGGTGTCTATGAGCCAGCAAATGGCTATTGTTGTTTGGATATTCCGCCTAATTATAGAGATTCATTATGTACATGCCCAAATAATGTTCAACCTGTTGTTAATGCACCTTGTCGTAAGAAAATATTAGATAGTTTTCATATATAATACTTTCGAAAATACAGGTACTAGTACAATTCAGTCTCGTTGTACTAAACTATGTGTTAATGGTGGTGTATGTAATGTAGTTAATGGTCAAGAAGTATGTTGGTGTCAATTAGGTTTTAGTGGCGTACATTGTGAAATTCAAGGTTAAAATGCTTTTGAAATATTTCTTAAATTTAAAAGATGGTTTTTTAAATAAATAAGGTATTCAAAATCGTTGTTATCCTGGATTATGTCAAGCTGGAATTTGTTACGAGCAAGCGATTGGATCAAGTAATTATGCATATTGTCAATGTACACCTGGCTGGACAGGAATAACATGCAATCAATGTTTGTATTAATTAAATTTTTTTATTGATATGATTTAATATCTTTTTCGATAGGTTATTTTACATGTACACAACAAGGTATCTTTCCTGATACAGCACAATGTGCAATTGGTCGATATTTTTACTGTCCACAAGCATCTGGTGGTAAGTTAATTAGAAGAGATTTTATTGAATAAAAAATAATCTTTTTTTTTACTCTAGCACCTACCGCTGCTGTTTGTCCAGCTGGACAAAGATTTAACCGTCTAACAAGACAATGTGACAGTACATATCAATGCACGTAAATGTGGTATTATACTTTTAATTATCAATAAACTAAATGATGCTGTCATGAGAAAAAGGAAATTGCTTTTTTTTTCCCGATATTTTTATCATGATTAAGAGATTATTTGTGTAATTAATATGATGACGAGTATTATTTTATGCTTAGCTTAGTCTTATTTGATTTAATTACATATTTATCTTCTGAAAAAAAAATGCTTGTCAGCTATGCCTCTGATAGAACGAAAATATGAAGTTGAAATATATCTTCATGATATACTTCAAATTATCACATGTTATTTAGAAGTCATTGAATTGAGATCGAACATATAATAAGTTTACAGAAAAAAATCTACTTGAGATAATGCCAGTTGTTCATGTATAAAATTATTTGATTTAATATAAATTTCAAAGATAATTTCTGATTGATAGCTTCATAAAGATATTTTAAGAATATAAAACCTACTCAACAGCATCAGAATAAATTGAATTAACTTTTCGATACCATCTCGCATTCATTTGACATTGATTACTTTCATCCATCACGTAAGAATAGAAGATCTAATCGAAATAAACAATATTTATGTTCGATCGTTTTTTCTCATAATATCCTTCATTTTGAATGAAACTTCCATTATACGTTTTTTAATTTAATACCTGAAACAGGATTTCTCATCTATATATTTGAAAAAAAAAAGGTTAATAAAAAAATCTACTAAAACTACATTTTTGTTCGAACAAAAAAACTAGATTGTTAGTATTGTGAAGTTTAAATGCAATGTTAGACAAAAAAAAAGAAATGAAAATCGAATATAAATTTTAGTAATGTTAAAAAAAAGTATCACAATAAATGAAATTAAAAATTAAACTCCAGATGCAACTGGATTTTCCTGAGATGCTTTAGCTTTATTTGTTTCATGAACTTCTACTTTATTTGAACGTTCCATCCACATAAGAGAAAAATGCATAAGAGCACTGATTATAAGAGTAAAACCACCAATTACAAATACCAATGAAAAACTTGATGTTATATCACGAATTGCACCCATAAGCTGAATAAAAGTTTCTCGTAAAAAAATGTAAAATCTGCAAAAAAAACATAAAACTTACAGGTGGACCAGCTAATACTGCTACACCACGAAACATTAAAGATAAACCCAATGCACTACTATAAAGCTCAAGACCAACAAGTTGACAAACAATTACGGGACTTAATGAAATATGAAATGCTTAGATTAAAAAAAAATATAAATAATTCAAAATAAATTTTTAACAAAACAAAAACAATTTTACCAGCAAAACCACCCCACATTAAGCAAATACATATAAGAGAGAAATATGAACGGCATAGTGGTACAAGGAATAAAAGTGCACCACCGACAGTTAAACCAATATTATTGACAAGCAATGGCGACATGAAAGGAATTTTTGTTACCCAACCAGATGCAAATCGAGAAATTGTATTAGTAACGCCTAAATATGAAGAATTCTTTAATAAATAAATAAATAAATAAAAGAAATTATCCTATTTACCAATACACGTTAGTAGAAAAACGGCTGTATCTCGAGGAATATTTCTGTCTGATGAAGCAAAATCAACGATAAACAGAAAAGGTATATAATAGCCAACCATTGAAAAAACATTAGCCTCGAAAAAAAACAAAAGAAGTCATAATAATAGAAAAAGCTGTTAGCGCAATTTCTACAGAATAAAAATGTGAAACACCATGAAGCTGATGTTAATAATCACAGAGAGGTCGTAGTATTCAGTCCATTCTGAGATATATTTCTTTACCATCCTTGTACTTAATCCTTCAGAAATGCAATAAGGAAGTAGTTTATACACAGGGAGGGTTATAAATAATACTACGATAAAAAATTGAAATATTTTGGCCTTGATTCACTCGAATGGACAGATTTTTAGTAAGTGGTATAAACTTATTTAAAGTTTTTCTGTTTTCACGGAAATGGTAAACAAATACTATTGTCAAGTTTTACTTTTTGATATATAACATTTTATTAGGAATTATTAGTAAGTTGCCAAATCGATTGATTATCATCTCAGTTGATAATAGAGTTAGACGGTTCCAACAACTGGAACCTTCTAAATCATTAGATAGATACAAAAATCTTTAAATCTATATCCAATAAATCTTTATTTTCTCATTCTTGAGATTACAGATTTCAGTATATACGTATAATATTGTTCCGCTTAAGTACTGACATATGTGGCGTATTTATTCTCAATAATTCGATAGTGAAAATTTCGCGAAATAATTTAGCAATATTTTTGTCATTGGAATCGGACCCGCTGTTTCGGTTCCGAGTAAATTTTACAACTGCTGAACTCTAGTTGGTAAACAACGTAGAATATTAGCATGACTGTGAGCTTGATTCTTCTCTCCATGCACACTCATATTCATACCCTTGATCAAGTAACAGATTTAATCGATTTATTAATCAACTAACTAATTATAATAAAATGTTATACATAGATTTGATCGCATTTGATCCAGAGTCATTTTCGATTATCAAGTCATTCAGGGAAAATGGAAACTATCTTATTTATGTATTTCATCAGTATAGAAAGCCTTAAATAAACGTCTACTACAAATAAAAAAAACCATCCGGTTTGATTCAAACGACGTAGAGATATTTCATTCCTTTTTTTTTATCGTACTTCTATTTGTTACCCGTCCTATATGTAACGAGATGTTATTGATATACGATCTTTGATTGTATATCAACAACGTCTGCCAGGATCTGTGTCACGAGGAAGGATCACAAGCTTTACCTCTATACTTCAACACTTCTGTTAGATCGTGTTTCACAAAAAAAACAAAATATATTATTAGTATGATTTACCACACAAATAATCATCATCTTCTTATCACGTAACAGATGAATATTTGTCATAGCAAGAAGTACATCCCAAAATGCTTTCATTTTAGTTTCGTCGACAGTTTCAGGAACTTTTGTTGTTTGTTGAACATATGTGGGTATATCAGGTTGAGATTGAAATTCAGGTAAATCTCTTGTATCACCTTGATAGAGTACATCTTCTTTATATAAGCTATTCAAAAAAAAAAGTAAGGAAAAAGAATTTCCCAGTAGCACTTTCTTACGGACGAACAGCGTCTTCAGCTCTAATACTATGTCGTGATTTATTTGATACACCTGACGCAGTTCGAGATCGTCTTTTATTGTCGTCTTCCAATATCACATCAGGTAAACTTTGTTCTTCGTCTTGTGGCGATGGTATTATGACAATTGTTGGTGCAACTTTAGCTCCTTTGATTGAAGATGCTGGTGTCTATATTAATAGAAAAGCAATATAGAAATTTCAAATAAGATGTGGAACTAACCATGACTTTTTGCACAACATAATCCATTCTATTGAAATAAAGAACAAAGAAAATTTTTATTATTTAAAGAGTCTTTTAACTAATATTATTCACAAATCATTTACTCATATATAATCAATTCTTTCAAGAAAAACACAATAAGTCTATAGAATATGCTCTTCTACAATTGCAAAACTTACTTTTCAGGCAACGGCAAAACACGCCGTTTTCGTATTGGTTGTAAAGGGCGCATAAATGCACAGCACAGAGCACAACAAAGAACTATAAGTGCCATTAAAAATAACCCAAGTTTCCAACGAAATAAATTGAATAATAAACGTGCTAAAGGTCCAAATCCCATTATACCAACTCCCGTACCAGCCGTAACAATACCTATAATAGTAAATTTATTATTTATTCAATCAAGAAAAAGTCTTTTATTTAACCTGTTGCAATAGCACGTTTTTCTTCAAAATAATATCCAACCATGACAATACTTGGTAAATAAATAAAGCCCATACCAGTACCAGCAATAACACCGAATAGTAACCACATTATCACAATATGTGGTGAAAATATCGATGCTGCAATAGCGCATGCAGCAATAACACTTCCAATAATACCAATCCGACGACAGCCCCATTTATTACATAAAGCAGAAGCTACTGGAGCTATATGAGAATCAAGCAAAGAAATAAAATAAGTATTAAAAAGATGAAAAATAAATATCAAACAATTTAATTACCGCTAAGCATATAAAAGCCACCAGCTAATCCAATAATGAGTGATGAAGCCCATTCTTGACACTTAAAATGATCTCGAAGATCATTCGATATGGCACCAAATGCATAAATAAAGCCATCAATAATCAAATTAATAAGCTTTTATAAATAAAATGACAAAAGGTAAATTATTTGTAATTCTAGATAATAACTTACAAAACATGCCACAAGAACAACCCAACCAAAACCTCCATCTGGTGGTACTGTAATATAATCATATTCTTCATCATCGTCTAATTTACTTAATTTGGCCTCAACTTTTTCTAGATCATTTTTTAATATACCCATTTTCTTCTCTTCTTTTTCTTGGCCATCTTTTAATACACTGATTTTCTTCTCGTCTTTTTCTTCATTAACATTTAATTTGCTTAATTTCTTCTCTTCTTTTTCTTCATTTTGTACGCTTGGTTCAATCTCGTCCGTCATATGTGCGTTATTTCAATAGCTTATTACAACACAATTACATGTAGATATTTTCTTTTTTATATAAAACTGATGCGATACCGATTATGAAACTAACAACTTCGCTGAATGTGCAGATAATCAACGGCACATCTGAAAAATATAAATATAATTGTATAAAATACTTTCACAATTATAAAATACAGTCTATTTTTGAAGAAAGAAAAGTACATATATAGATTTAATAACTTTCACCCTCTGCTATTGACTTAGTAAAGAGAATACTTGTTGCCATTGATAACAATATGGCAAATCGTTTTACTTGTAATACATATATGATAGAGTGTTTTATATCTAGTAGCAACAGAAAGAAAAAAGTCATAGCATATACATATTTGTTATCCTTTAGTAGAAAGTTTTTATAGAAACATTCCTATGCAGATTGTTCATGAATTCAATATTGATTTCTTTTTTAAGAATGATAACATTCACCGAAAAGTTACAATTATGATTGTACTTACATGTTGATTTATATTACAAACATAAAATAATGTTTGTTCTTCTATGTTTATTTTTGTATATTATGAGATGAACTTATAGTGATCAATGAAAAGCGAATAAATCAATCGTTGGATAGTACGTTGTGTAAGAAGAGCAACTATAGAGAAAATATCATATTGATATATGATCAATAGCACATTTCTTGTTTACTATGAGAAACAAATACAATGTATTGTTAGTTGATTGAGTACAAATCCAATTGTTAGTCATATGCAAAGCACTTTTTCATTTTATTTCTGATAGAAATAGATATGTAATACTTCAGCTTTTCTTTTCTTCGAATCAATAAGATTCTGATGGAAGATGTAAAGTAATATGTGATATTAAATGATATATAAATTAATTCACACTTTGCTTCAAAAAGATTATGTTTAATAATAATGAGAGATAATAAAAATAAAAAACATTTCGAATGATATGTTATTAAAATAGAAACAGTGTCAATGATCATTCAATGATAAAAAACACATGCATGAACAAAATAACAAGATTAGACTACTAATAAAATAATGATGAGATACTAGCTCTGATAAAAAACAGATGTCCTGAATGATGCTTTTAAAAACTATCACGATAGATAGACGTCAACTAGTGATTTAAAACGTAGCAAATTATGCTTCTCGTTTATTACCTTTATAAATCTAAAATATAATAGAAATTAATGATATCATTAAATTTTTGTTTGTTTTTATTTATTGCAATAAACAACAAAGAATCATTCGAAGTCAAATCAAATATTTATATTATATTCTTCAAATAAAAAAAATTCACAAAATCATTTACTTTATTAAATTGATCATTGTTCAATGATAAAAAAAAAGTTTCTTTTTTTAAATTGAACTTTTTTTTTTAATTCATAAATTAATAGATAATGAATCAGATTTTTTTTTGTCACACCTTTCGTTATTCTTCATTTATCATTAAAAAAAAATTATACTCACGCATATTGCTTGATCGTTAAGAAAAGAAACACTCCGATCGAAAAAAGAAAAGATATCAACAAAAACCCATAAAAATGCTTGTCGAACCCATATTACACTAATAATCAGAGGACACCATCATTTCATCTTTTTTCGGTTCATTGATGTGAGAGCGTTCGATCACCATTCACATCGACGCGCTGACCTCATTAGCGAAAATAGCTACCTGTTCACTCGGTCATAAATTCAAACTGTCTTAAATTCACTTTTTTCTCTCATCTCACTCGCTCTCTCTATTGTATAGAAGCCACAGTTTCATATCAAGTAGAGGCAACTTAAATGATGGAGTAGTATAGTGAACATCTTTGCCGAGGGCAATGATAACGTTATTCTTTCAGTTTGTTATTTTTAATCATAATATAATACACACCACATTGATTACGAAATAGATCATCTGTCTCTCGCATTTTCGTCACACATAACAAAATAATCGTAAAGCAAAAAATAAAATGTTATGAAACATAAGTATCAGAAAATACTCGAACAGATAGATGCTGAAACATTTAGTTTAAAGAAAAAGAAAACAAGAATTAAATCAAATTATTAGATGTTCGAAAGAAATAAGGCATCAAGCAAAAAAGATTTATATATCGTTTATTCTCTATCAATCAATCGAAATATGATCAAAATATCTGGAAAATAATTATTCAAATCTATAAGTATATTATTGGCACCATCATTTTGTTCGTATAATAATATCACTAACTATATATAATCAAGCTACTTATATAAGTAGTATGCATTCCATATTTCATTTGGTAGTACACATACGATAAAAAAAAATGACATTGTTGTTTGATATAAAAAGCGAATTTTTTTTTTGTCGTATAAATATTATTTATTATTATATTCAAAGATGTATTGATGATGATAGGCACTTAAAAACTACTTAGTTCATAGACAGCTGTGAGGGTATTATAAATGTAACACATTCAATGCATGACAGAAAAATATAAATTATAACGAAATGTATATTGGAGTGATTGCATAATATACATTGTTTTATTTTTATTTTTTATTTTATCTTGAAAAAAAAAACGTTCAGTTAGGAGATAGGAATATGGATTTTAAACTAAACTAAAAGAAATATTCACAGATAAAAATGTTTTCTTATAAGTTAAATATTCACATTTGTTTTTAGTATGAATATTCTTTGTCTCTATTGTTCTTTCTCAAGAGTAATTATAAAGACACGAGCAAACATATTATGCATTTGAGATGCAACTTGTATAAAAAGAAACATATATATATATATTAGTTTTACGCTATACAAAGTGACTTATAACCTAATATTTTCCTACCATTGTGACTAAATATGTAGGAAATCACTAGAAAAAAAATTTGCTGAAACCGAAAACGGGGATTATAAGAAAAAGTTTTTCCAACTGGAACTGACGATTATAGTTCAATAATCTATGGTTTTAAGTGAATTATCTTATAAATCATATAAATTAGAACATAATTCAAGAGTTAAGAACATGTAACCTATGTGCAATGAGTTTATTAAATAACCGTAACATGTATTAATACATTTTGACTACAGTATCCGCCAAAGTAAAGTGCAACTTTTTATAAATATTTTCATCTTTCAATAATGATTTTCTTGAACGTCATACATATAGTTGTGTAAAGCCCGCGGTCTTGCAAAGTTGAACATAACAGCGACACCAGAATTCTCAGCAAGGGAGGCTGAGTTTCTTCAGATTTCTTGGAAGACTATCCTTAGCAACAATTTTAAAAATTTTCCAGTGGGTTCAGTATCCTTGTTGTACTACCACTACAGTCTTTCACACATTAGAAGACCAGACCTCTTCTATTCTATCTTATCGTTCATAAATGACAAAACGGTCTTCTAATAACTTTCTCAAAAAAGTCATTTTGTGGTCTCATTGGCAATTCTTATTTCGAATTCCTTTTTGTCCAATATATCGTTAGTGCACAAGTTTATTTCACTTATCTTACAAGCGTAGAATAAGAAAGAAACAGATAGTACCCTGCGAAAGAGAGAGAGAGACGATAGTTGATAAGAAGACTGTCCTTAGAAAAAAAAAAGAAAATTAAATTTCTTTGTCGTTAAACTTATTTGAGTGACTTGTTTGTATTGAGGTTTGAATATTATAGATGAAATTTGCTCACAGTGCAATGTATCACTAGCATAGTTACTAATTAGTTCCAAGCTAACCTCAATGTATATCGTTGTCTATGAACAAAACATTTATAACAAAACTGTTGTTGAATACAAATTCAGTGTTTTTTTTGTTTCGGTTTCAAAATATGACTATAGATCTTTCTTGGAAAAGAAAGAGTGTAGGCGAAGTCTTTAATTAAAACTTTTTTACTTCTCTAGCCCCCTCTATAATGGTTCAAATTTAAAAAAAAAGTACTTTTTTATATCCAACTCGAGGCCCTCTACACACTAGACAAATCAAAGAAATACATTTTCACTGTAGATAGCTGATTTTCGACAAAGCCACATCTTTAAATGTCTAGCAGAAAAATATCACGCGAATATTTGGAATCAACATGGTTAATCACCTATAATCCGTTAGATTTCGACTAAAAAGTGTTTCAACATTTGGTGACCTTCTCTCGTTACATATTATTATGGACATAAATACTAAAACAATCAATAGAAAAGAGAAATCGATTATCAGATCAGATATTCTAAACTATATTTTAATGTGTCGAAGGCTTTACTTAAAAATTCTGTCTTTTAATGTATTCTTTCGTTCGTTGCTCTATCATTATTTTAAGTATTAACTCTGATAGGATAAGATATCCAGAGAATAAATAGATACCACTTATATCTATGCTTTTATTTATGTCTTTTATACTTCTGGTAATATAATTACACATACTACTCATCATATTCTATCATCTACTTGACGCCTTCGGAATATTCTTTCCATCCTATTAATAGCCTAACATAGTTTACAGAAAAGAATCAAATGTTTTTCTTTGTTGATCGCAGTGTGTTCAAGAAATTAGTAGTGAAAATTACAGCAGCAAAGAAAAATCACTTTTATTAATAATTTAATAAGGTTTTTCTATTTCGTAGACTAATTTGTGCCATATTTTTTTAACACAATCCTTAGTTATATTACAAATGTTGATTACTGTCAAAGAATATTACCACTCCATCAATGGAAAACCAAAATAACAAGACATCTTGGTACTTTGCCTCATTTGTCATTATTCTGAGTGACAACAGCACATGTTAACGAAGAATAAAGAAAAAAAAATATACAACTAGAGACTAGGATAGATGAAGATTTACGCCACCGATATATCTGTATAAGTATATACAAACATACGTCTATTCTCACTCCTATCATTATATATATCTGTCTATCTTGCATTCGGCCAATACGTCTACAATCTAAGCCATGTTGATAAGATTCTCATTATGTAGTAAGTTATATGAATATATGAAAGTAAGAAAAGAAAAACTTCGTTTTTAATTCTAGTTCTTTTTATGATATTTATCATTTGTCAAACTGCTTCATTATATGATCGTAGTAATGATGATGATGATGATGATGATATTGATAGTACTTATGAATTATATAATCAATTTAAATCTCTTACTCCTCAGGAGTTAGCTGATCTTGATGAATTTCTTTCACGTAAACTTGGTGATGAATCATCATCATTATCATCAGGAGAAGTGTTATATCGTAATACACGTCGTCCACATCAAAATTTAATTGTTAAACGTGATGCTTTATGGACAACAACAGAAGTACTCGAGTGTATTCGACGTTTGAAATATTCTAATAATTCAAAACTTGATCTTGTTACAGAAATGCTCAATTGTTATCGACGTCTTAAACATTCAGGTTAAAAAAAAGACATCTATGATAATTGTCAAAATAAAAATTAATTAATAAAGAAATAAACTTTCAAAATATATGGCATCATTAGACCATATCTTTTATTACAAAAAATGTTCTAAGTTTAAAAAAAAACAAACTTTGAAATATTTATACAAGATGAAAGATTGAAGAAAGAGAAAAACATTTCTCTCTGATAATCATCACGTTTCATTCTATCGGTCGGTCAGCTTTATATCAGTAACAGAACGAAAGAATCTGGTTGAGCGGAATAAGAGATGTTGGAATTGACGTCGACAGTTCGAGTCTCAAACAAGGCAATGATGTATACCATTAGATTCCCTATTGGCCTGAATATATCTGAAGACTACGTGTGATCATTACTGAGCCTTGAACAAAAAAAGATGATTTTTCTAGTTGTTTTATTGATAAAAAAAAACACTTGAATAATTATGGTTTTTCCTATTAAAACCTCTTGGATACCGCTGTCTTCAATTGAAGACAAGCAGAACGAAAGAATTTTTTTCGTTCTGTCGTATCGATAAACAGCTGTGAAACGAAATGTTCATTAATGTGCCTGTATCAATCCACATTTCATATACAATAAAATATACATGTATACAGCTGATTTACGATAATAGGACGCAAGAGAGAGTGATTTTTTTGATTTTTCTATAAGATCGTAAAGAACGCAAAAATTGTCGGGATCCATGAGGTTAAAATCATTTTTTCTCCTATAATAAATAGTATGAAACTAGATTGATTTGATTATGAAAATTTTATTGCTTTTCAATGCAATTTTATATATGATTATGTGTAAGATGTCCACAACGTGAAATTCAAGTAAGTCTTTTTCCTTCTTTTAAATACATGCTTCAATAGAGCTTAAGCCAATGATTTTGTTCGCATGGTTATACGTCATTTTTATAAACCTATCTACAGTAGTAATTGTTTTCTATGTAAGTGATAAAATCAAATATTTTATCCCATTTAATCTATGGTACTGTCAGTCATAAAAGTTCTTTAACGAAAAGGCTAATACCTAAATTCCAAGAGCAATTATGAGTACAAGTGCAGTCATTGCTTGCATTGAGACTTAACATATAACTAGAACGGCACTCTATAAACTTGAAGTGAAGTTTTTGTAAACATAATTGGCTCTAGTGAATTGTAGTGTTTTTTTAATTCGATTGACAGATGCATTCTCTGTTTGATGAAAGAAGGCAATTTTATATTTGAAAATCAATATGAAAGCAATTATGGGTATTTTAGAAAACGTTGTCTCAAGTTTTTGGACTTTTAAGGTGTGCTGGGTTCCAAAAATAAAATAAAACAGAAACTAAAAATTCTTTCTCTGATTCGAAGCAGTAAGGAGTTCTCCTTTGAATGAAAGTGGCCTGAACTCTAAAACGTGAAGTTGATTTAAATTTTTTTGCATGGAAGCAGGCCATTTTTGTATCTTGGCCCTTGAAAATCTCGTATATGGATAGATTCGGAGCTATTAAAATATTTTTATTGGTGTACTTCCATTGACCGAGCATTTAAAAAAAATTTAACGAAAATCACTCATATCATAATTATGCTTATCCTAACTAAAGCGATCCACTTTTCATCGTATAATATCAATATTCATGATTGCAGATATGCATTTCGTTCTCAAGTCGACTATATAGATTTGACTACAGAGTGCTCTATATGTAGGATTGTACAGAAACGCTTTGTTTATCTAATAGTGTTTACATTGCCAAATTGTACTGCGTACTCTTGAGTTGTCAGTAGGTAGCGCCATCTATTGACATGTCATCGGAACAACGCAGTAGAATTTGAATAAAGCATACACTGCTAGATTGAGTGAGACTTTCTCTAGAAGCTTAATGAATTTCTTTCTGTAGCTAAAAATCATCGAAAAACTTTAAGTTGTCTTTCATGGATGACATTTAGATGATTTCGTAAAAGAATAAAACTCCAAAGAAATGTATGACACACAAACAGTAAATAGAAGTACACTGCGATCGAAAACATCTTGTAGGACCGTCTTCATTTAAATTGAATTTCTTGTTTTTTTAACATCTAATATTCTACAAATAGCATATTTAAGAAATGAGGTCAATACAATAAACTTTTAAGATATGTAAAGTTTTCAACTTAAAGAAAAATTGTAACTAGTTTAAAAACTAAACTACAAAGTTACCTATTATAATTAAATAATAAAATTCTATGTAGTTTTGATTAGTATCGTACTTTTAGTAAAGAGTAGTCATCTGTATCCGGGTTACAATCGTGACCAAAAAACAAAAGAAATATTTTTCACAACACTCTTCCGTAGAAAGGCTATCAAGAGAGTCAGCTTACAAGTAGTCCACGTCACTAACAGAAATTAAATTGTATTCGCTTTTGTTCGTGACCTTTGGCAAGATGTTGTGCTCCTTGAACACTGATAGGATTCAAAAAGAAACTCAGTGTAGTCAGTGTCTATTTTGAGCAGATAATGAATGGCAGATACAGAAAATAGGGATACTACCTGGTTTCGTGCGAGAGCTTTACTAAGATGTTGTGCTCCTTGATCACCGATTCTATTGCCACTGAGGTGCAGTGTGGTTAGCGTCTGTTTTGAAAACGCAGTGAATAGTAGATACATGACATGGGAATATTACTTGATTTTCCCCGAGAGCTTTAGCAAGATGTTGCGCTCCTTCATCACCAATACTATTGTTAACAATTCCCAGTATGGTTAGTGTCTATTTTGAACAGGTTGTAAATGATAACTAGAGAAGAAGAAAATATTGCTTGGTTTCGTTCGAGAGCTTTGGCAAGATGTTGTACTCCTAGGTCACTAATTTGATTCATTTCAAGTTCCAGTGTGGTTAGCGTCTGTTTTGAACAGGCAGCGAATGATAGAAAGAGAAGATGGAGATATTACTTGGTTTCGTTCGAGAGCTTTGGCAAGATATTGTGCTCCTTGATGACCGATTTTGTTGCTACTGAGGTTCAGTACATTTAGTGCCTGTCGCCAATAGACAGTGAAGGATAGATAGAGATGGTAAGGATATTACTTGGTTGTGTTCGAGAGCATTGGCAAGATATTGTGCTCCTTGATCACCAATTCGATTGCTGGTGAGCTTCAGTTTATTTAGGGTCTGTTTTGAATAGGCAGTAAATGATAGATAGAGAAGATGAGGATATTACTTCGTTTTGTTCGAGAGCTTTGGCAAGATATTGTGCTCCTTGGCTACCGATTTCGTTTATGCTGAGGTCCAGTGTTGATAATGTCTGTGTCGAATATGCAGTGAATGATATATAGAGAAAGTAAGGATATTACCGGGTTTAGTTCTAGAGCTTTGGCAAGATCTTCTGCTCCTTGATCCCCAATACAATTAATAATGAGCCTCAGTGTAGTTAGTGTCTGTTGTGTGTAGACAGTGAATGGTGGATAGAGAAGGGAGAGATGTTACTTGGTTTCTTTGAAGAGCTCTTGCAAGATGTTGTGCTCCTTGATCACCAATTTGAGTGTTACTCAGATATAATGTGGTTAGTGTCTGTTGTGAGCAGTCACTGAATGGTAGATACAAAGTGTGAAGATATTACCTGGTTTTGTCGGAGAGCTTGAACAAGATGCTGTACCCCTTGAACACTGATTTGATTTGAAAAGAGATTCAGGGTGGTTAGTGTCTGTTTTGAACATGTAGTGAATGGTAGATAGAGAAGTTGGAAATGTTACTTGATTTAGATGAAGAACTTTACCAATGTTTATTCCTTCTTCATCGCCGATTTGATCGCCAGTGAGGTACATTGTCGTTAGTGTCTATTTTTTGACATTAGGAAGTCGAAATGATCGAAGTTTTCACCAAGTTATATCATTATGAGACATAGTATGAGGAGTTGTTGCTGGAATGGGAAAATCTTTCACTTAGTTTATAGACATCATAATGCTATTTTTTGAGAAGAGAAGCACTGTATGAGGTTAAGGGGACCCCCCTCAGAAAATCGATTTTTTTTTCAGAAAAATTGATTTTTAGATAAGCACATATACTGGAAGCCCAAAGTGTCCTCTTTCAGATTATGTATGATTTGTTGCATTTTGAAAGGTTTTGAGTGATGAAAATAGCGGTTTTCTGGGAGCACTGGTAGAAATATAAGGTTTTATCAGAATTTTTTCTAGTTAGGGAGATGTAACAGTGGTCAACAAACTTGTAGATTTTGGTTAAAGAAAAATACATATACGTTCTGTTACATTAATTAATTAGAGGAACGTAGTCATTTCTGCTAAAAATTCTGTATACATGATGAAATTGCCGTATAGAGGTCGTGACAGTCATAGTGAAATTAAAAATTGTTTCATACAAACTTGTTGATTGGTTTTCTCAAAATCACTTTTTGGAAGAGCTCCGAACCGATTTCTTAGACTGTAGAAGAGCTAGCGAACTACTATTTTTTTTAAATAAAAGGAGAGACCTATGTCTAGAAATGTATATAGCGTTTTTTTCGAAACTCGATTTCTTTGCCGAGATAACTGGATAACACTGATGTCAAAAAGCGCTAAAATCCGAGTTATTGCAGGAAAATGTCTCGGAAATCCGAATAAAATCGAATTCCGAAAAAAACGCTATATACATTTCTAGATTCATGTCTTCTCTTTTATTTAAAACAAAAGGTAGCTCTCTACCTCTTCGACAGTCCGAGAAATCGGTATCTTACGAGAACCACCATTTTCAGGACTCATTTGTCAATAACTCATTAAAACAAGAATTTTATGAGTCAAAAATTTGCCAGAAATTTAGTTAACGCAACACACATATTGCCTGAAAATTTCAGCCAAATCGGCCCACGAATAACGAAAAGCGATTCCTGAGGGGGCGTCCCCCTTAACAAGTAAATAATTTTTTTTAGGGAATCGTAATAGACTTCCAGTTGCCTTGAAATGGATGACGCAGATTTTGGAGGTTGTGTAAGCATGGTGAACCTCAGTATCTGGTAAAGGTTTCCGGAATAATAAGTCCTACTACTCGTGCATGTTGAATGTAGAAAAACAAAAATAGCTCTTCGATAGAAAGAGTTTTATGCGCTCTCATGCCCAACACGGTCTTTAACTCCTTCATGTTTTGGTTAAACGTAGTTAGACTTGCATGTCTTGGTTCAGCGGATATCTAATGAAAAGAAACTGCTCATGTGTCGCTCTTTACTAGAAACGCAATAATGTTGTTAACACATTGTTTCTAGAAAGGATCGTTCTTAGAATGATTCCATTACTCCATTTTGAATGGTGATCTTTGAAATATAGTTTTCAAGTATCATTCACTTAGGATTCTTTAAGTGATCGGCATCCCAACAAATGATACACATTTCCATCGCTGTCGGGCTATTCATAGTGGCGTTTTTTAGTTAACTTCAACTATTGTTAGTGATCAGTCACGATTTTCGACTGAAATTTATAGCATAAGTTGTTTTCAATAAATCGTCAAATTTATTCGGTGCAGTCTTTTAATTGCGGACGATGAAAATCACATCTTCAGATACATTACTGTTTTACCTGATATCGATAGTAACTGTCAACAATTGAATTCATACGTGTACAAACGTTTCGTGTCGAGCATAAAATATTGAAATCATCAAGATAATCAAAAATTCGGTAGACGAGTTCTACCGGTAATGTTAGCAGAGTTGGAATAATTTTGGTCGACATGGATGAAAGTTTTTAAGATGTTTGAGATGTTGAAATATATGTTGAATATAGAATATGTTTAGTCAGAGTTTTTTCGTTTAAGTTAGTTTATAATAGCTTTGTTTTGTAAATTTCTCGTGTTTTTGCAATTACTTGCTTGTACAAAGAAATGCAATGTAATGATATATGGTGAAAGCGTCACGGTGGCAACTACTGATTACTTTGCGTCTAGTTAAATTTGATTGGTCACATAGTAAAATATGGATATTAAATAATCTTGGAGTCTCTTTTCTGTTCTTCTTTTGGCACACTTCGACTGAAATTTGACAAAATATTTTGTCGCATGGAATTTTTTAAAAGTTACTTATTGTTGTAAATGCAGTTTATTATCTGATGACCAGTTAAACTGACATAATCGAATTTTAACTAAAGCAAACAATTGTGGACAGGGCCACGTCTAAGACTTTATCATTATGGCTTTTCAGATAACTATGTAAACGCCATGAACTCATCAATTGTCTACAGTAATACCATCGAGTAGTCAATGAAAGAAAGACATATGTCTTAGGAGTACTTTTGGTGCGTTGAACTTTTGTTAAATGGAAGTGATTACTCTACTTGTGTCTAACCTCTCAGGAATTTACTTTTCTAGTCTTTTGTTTATCTGTTTGTCCGCAGCCCAGATCGAACCATGTGGTACATAACTGTGACATATGGAACAGTTCTGCGACGTCCTGTGCGACTATTCACGCCTGTGCGAAAGCCTGTCAGAGCTTTCCAGAGTGCATGCTATGTCATTTCAATCATTGAAGAGTGCTGCGAAAATATGATAGATACTAATAAGCACTTACGTAAGTAGTTGCCTAAACGACATAAGAGAAAAGCATGCAACACGCCTAGGCGTAAGCAACGTTGCGTACTGTTCGGTTAGTCTATCGTACTTAAACGATTGCATATCATATACCCGTCTACCAAATGGTACCCTGTATCTAAAATCGATTGGATAAACATAACTGTATTGATGGTGTAACGCTAGTCTGTGAGTCATGATTTCATGGCTTACTTCAAATAGTTTATCGTATGAAAACGGTGCAAGCACAGTCCGTTTATGAATATTTTATAGATTTATTTGAATAGCGACGATGTACGGTAAACGAATTGGATACTGGCTGTTCATGCTATTATTAAAATATCAACTGTATTTTTGTGTCCGACTAAACGCCGTGAATACACACTGTTTACTAATATAGAGTTGACATGTTTTCACATTTACTAGTTGCAAATGAGTTGTAAACGTTATCCATTTTGACCGATCTGAAGGTAAGTCAAGATTTGAAATACCAAAATTTCGTAGTATTAAGATAATGCGGATACGCGTACATGAAATGTCTATTTGAACCACATACATATACAAAATCAACGCATCCACACTCCACACCCAAGGAAAATAACAATTGGTCGAGAACTGAATAGCGAAAGCATCTGATGGGCTGAATCCAAACATAAAAAAACTGGATTGGACAAAAGCTAAATAGCGGGAAAGTCTCATGGAACGACAATTAGATAGTGAAAATATCTAATTAGATGGCACGTCAAAAACAAAGCCGCCTGATGGGATGAATTACTAGCATGACAAAAAAAAAACAATTCCTATTTGCTGTTCAAGACCTTCACAAATATATGTGTATGCGTAACTTTACACGTACAAGGAAACTCATTTTTATTTCATATGATTTTGTCTTCAGTCGAGAGAATCTAGTAATACATGTACAGTATGAGCATATATTCGTTATAATATTACCATGTGATTGAATAGCTTTCATTATAATAAATTTCGGAACCATTCCAAATGTTAAACAAGTTAATGCATTATGGTCATAATTGTATATTGAAATTCCTGAAGCTTAATTCAATTAGAGTACTTAGTGTTGTGTGAATGAGTTCACTGATTAAATAGAATGAATTGGCAGAGGAAAGTCGTTTCCTACATATGTCGTTATCAGTAAGTATTTGTCAGTGATGATTATTGATGAAAAATTGATTATTGATGTGATGATGTCTTTGCATTAAGTCGAAGATTGGTCACTGAAGACGAATAGAGAAGATAATTGATATACACCACATCAATGATTGACTTGATTATCAATTTCATCTTTTCATCGACAGTCGACCAATTAATAATCTACAATGATTTAATAATAGTATATCAGATGTTTGATTTAATTAGTTTTTTTTTCGAGAAATTCCTAAGTATATATTTCATTTTTCGAGATGTGATTGTCTATTACTTTGGAAAAAGTAACTTGTTCGAAAGATAAAATAACAAAGAGAAAAGATGAGAATATCATGGTTGTTAATCATTTGTATAATCGTTTCGTTAATAAAAGATGATATTGAGCTGAAACTTTGTGCAAACATTGAGAGTGTTTCGTTTCACATAAAAAGAAGCTTCAGTCTCATATTTTGTTCTTACTGGAAGCTTTCCAATTTTAGAATATTTATAATACCATTTTTTTAATCATCTATCGCAGCTTCAATCACATTTAGGCAACTTGATTGAAAAGGCTTATTCGTTTGTTATTTTTTCTTCTTTCGCTAGTCTTGAGACATACACTAAATCAAAACAATCCTCAATAAAGCTGAGAAATTTTATGAAAAAAACCAAAATCGGTTCAAAGGAAAAACTTTTCCTCTCTGATGGAAACTATTTTTTGAAGAAATGAGTTTTGAAACAAAATAAAAGTATTTGAGTTTACGCCTTACATCATCAAAATCTATTGTATCTTTTTACTGATTTTCACAGTTTTTCAAATGATAGTTAGTCTTCTGAGAAACATTCATCAAATGTTTTTTGCATGACGTATCGCAAGCATCTTGAAAGATAGTATCATTTGATTCTATCACGTATACAGTGGGATGCTGTTTTTTTTTTGTTCGTTTATGTTAATAAATGCATTCGTCAGTACTTTTTTTTTTCTATGATGCTTCTATTAATATTCTGGTTTTTCATTATTACAAGTGTTCACGGTAGAGTACCATTGAGTAAATCTCTATTAAAATATCTAAATATTTATTTAAATAGGTAAATGTATTAATGAAACATGTGTACATGGTCAATGTATTAATGATAAATGTATTTGTGAGCCAGGAGTAGCAGGTGATACATGTAATGTCGATATCATCGATTGTGATACAGAAGCTTGTTTAAATGAAGGTACATGTATTGAATTAATAAATGGTTTTGCTTGTCAATGTTTACCTAATTACGATGGTCCACGTTGTCAATATCGTCGTCGTACAATAAATAATAATCATTGTAAAAAGAAATGTTTAAATAATGGTAAATGTATGGTAATAGATAATATAGAAAAATGCTTATGTTTATCAAAATACTATGGTTCAGAATGTGAAAATCTACGTGATAATAATAGTTTATCTTCAATAAGAAAATGTTCAGTATTAAAATTTCGAAATAATCATAAAGAAGGAAAATGTTTTGCTATTGGTTTAACACCATTTTTTGATGTCCATTGTGAATGTTATTATGAAGATAAAAATAAAAAATCTGTTAATTGTCAAATTACATCATCACCTTATGCAAGTAAGATTTAATTAATTACTATTTAAAAAAATACTACTGAACAAAAAGAGCTTCCTCCATGAAACCCGCCACCCATCAATTCACATATAAATGAGTTATGATTCAAACATTATTCTCCTATTAAGATTCCCTTATCTAAACTATGCTGGCATAAATATTTTCATCGAATCCATCATTTGAAAGGCTAATGTCTTAGCTATGACCCTGATTATTAAGATTTTGGCTATGTCTCACGAGTTTTCGTAGTTAAAGTAGATATTAGGGACTCTTTTGAGTGCTAGAAAAAATCGGTAGTAGCTGGTAGAATAGTAAAATTTGAATTGATCGAGAGTGGGTCGGTAGTTGCAATCAGGGTTTATTGTTGCTCGCATGTCTCCTATATATCACCTCAATATCATAAAGAATTCATCAAATCATTCGTTAGACATGTGACTGCACAAAATTAAAAGATGTGCATCTCGAGATAATGAACTTTTCTAGGGCTGATTTTTATATGTTACACATATGATAAGTTGCTTAAAAATCAGACTAGGCACTTTTGTTTGCAGAAGTTATGGCTAAAACACTAGTGATAGCGACAAGGCACAAAAAAGGACAGAATTTCACTCCATATGTTTTAGTTAAAAACACTTTCAATTGAAGCACGACTTTTGAAAACTAAACAATACATTCTGTAGACAACTTCTGAAACTATAAAATCTCAATCGAAAGATTTTCCGAGCATATCTAGATTTTTCAGAAGAACCGATTTATTTTTCGTTAGCACCATAACGAAATACGAATATACCTAATAAATAAATGCTCTTATAACTAAGTCAGAATTTTAAAACCAATTTCAAATGGTAAAAATCCTTCTTTAGAAGCTCTAGATAATGATAAGACGAACATTTTGGTTTCAAGACTTGATAGAATGTCTAGAAAACCGATTTTTAAGATGAGATTTTTTTGAAGTTCTAGTCTTATTGAAAAACTCACCAAAGAGTTTATCTTGAAGTTTTCGTATTTTGTTTCTTATATAGTCAAAGAGATAATCGATAATTACTTTTTAATTAATAGTCAGCTGAAAGAGCAAATATTTATATATATATATCTATGTTAAAAGAATTTGTTCAGAAAAATAACCCTTATAAAATGATTACAGTCAAATGAAAGGTAGATGTGTCCCGTTTCGCCTGAAATGGTTCATATAATAATACATTTTTCTCTCTTTTAAGAAGAAACATGTTCGTTTAAAAAGAACTTACACTCATTATTTCCTTCCAAAATATATGCAAATCCCACAAAACCAATTAGTTTATCAATACTGTCGATATCATCTGATCCAATAACTATTCAGGTGTGTCCTGTTAATTGGCAAATACTTGATCAATATGAACATATTCAAGAAATAGCTAGTAATGTTAATACAACACGATGTGAATTACTGGAAAATTGATTAATTATTTTTATTCTAACTAAGATCCAAAAACGATTAAAGATATTTAGAAAAAAAAAACGTTGCGTATGAATGTCGTTGGTTTTGTTTTTCGTGCAATGAAAATGTACAATTCAACAAAAAATGTTTTTTCTATATCGATGAAATAAATTTTTATTTGCTTGATTTAGCTGCATTTGCTCCATGTCCACCTGTACCTACACAACGTCCACCTTGAGCATTATTATGTCCTAATTGTCTACCACGTTCAACAGGATCAGGATCTAAACCAGGATGTAAGTCTTTTTGACTAAAGTGAGATATATCAGTTAGAGTTTTTCCACCAAGAGGCTGACCGCTACCTGTAAGAACAAATCGAAATCATTTTGAAAAATTTATCAAATCAAAATTACAGACCAGTATGAGTGGTAAGACCATGTCCGCCTGTACCTACGCTATGTCCTCCGTGAGCATTTTCAAGTCCCATTTGTCTGCCTCGTTCCACAGGATCAGCATTCACACTTGGTTGATTTGAATCTTCTGATCGATTCTCATCAGACTGTTGATGTTCATCAGACATGATTATAATATATTCAATGTAATCTAAAACGAATGATTAAATAATGTTAAATGTAAAACAAAAAAGTCCATATTTATAAGAACATTCTTTTGCTTTTCTTGGTTTGATCGATTTTGTTAGCACCCAAAAAGCAAAAAAAAAAAGATATGATCGTAATACTCTTTCGCCTTTATCTTTCTTTTATTTATAGCAGTTAGCAAATAAAAAGTAACATTCTTCATTGATAAGCTCATAAAACAAAATAAAACAAATCTGTAGATAAGATCTATCTGTATTTTTCAACTTAATACGCAGTTTTGATGAAAAATCATAGGAGAAAGAAGAAAAAGCTTTTCTTTTCAGCTCTTACGGTCTAAAAGTTCAATGGCAAAAGAAAACTACTCTTTCTTTCTTCTTTTCTTCTAAACAATGTGCGACAAATCTTAACGAGAGTGTGCTCGTTGCGATAGTAACAGATGTATGTAATTGCCTTACACAAATAGAACCTCTATGAAAAAGCTTGAGTGTTTCATGCACTTTGTCATGTTCGTTTATCATTTAAACGAATGAAATAATGACTTAATATAGTTTTGAAATCTTTCATCAATATTGACAAAGAAAATATGCTAAATATATATGTAATGGTTGATTCATCTTAATTTCGTTGAAAATTAAAATTTCGTTATTTAAACTATTAGAAATTGTATATTGAATTCATCTGATCTATTTCTTCATTCTTCAAAGAATTATTATATTACATTGAAAAATATATTAATCTCGTTTATTTCATTTGAAATCAGATCTAACGAATTTATTTCTTGAATGTTGATCAATACCATAATAAGAAATTATTCATGAACATCTATTCATATTAGAAATTCTTTCAATAAAATCCATGATTTGATCAGAGCTTTCAAACATAAAGTCAAAAAAAAATAATTCAAGTTGAAAACATATACATTTATTCTGTAAAAATATTAATAATATTTTTGTACTTATATTTTTAGTCATATTGAATTTAAACTGTGACATACTGTTTTTTTGTTAAATAAATCAAACGATATTTAAGACTAGTTGTGTATATGAAAAAAAAAATTTATATTCGATCTATGATTATAAACAATAAGCCTTATTGACTACTAAAAATTAGAATATAGACTTCGGGGTTCTGTTGGTGTAGCGGTTATCACATCTGCTTAACACGCAGAAGGTCGCAGGTTCGACACCTGCACAGAACATTCCTCTTTTTTTTTCTTCGTTCTGCCCATTCTTGTTCTTTGCTTTCTTTTCTAGTCGAATGCATAATCAAATTATGTTTTTTTGTTCATTTAAACATATTTTATTGTATTACATTCAATATAATGTCGTAAGAAAAAAGATAATAAAATTTGTTCGATATCATAGGAATTTTTCTCAAGAAATAAATGTTTCTGTTATTTAGAAATATATTACAAGTTTTGATTTATCTATGAAATTGACAGATGTATCTCGAAATATGCCATTCATCATGATATGCCATCTATCACTTCCTATTTATCACGATTCGTACTTGAAATAATTGCTAAATACCTATTCGAATAACATGTAAATGTTGATTATTTCAAAAGAAGAAAGTTAATTGATAAGAGTTGAAATATTCCTTATATATGCCTACATCTAAATCAAAGATACCTATGACTTAATATTATCAAATAAAATATAGTTAGTACTAAAAAAAGAAATCATTGTGTCTTTTTTTAAAAATAAATGTTTGTAATGCCCGTGGGCAATCATCAACAACCGGATACTCATTTTCTCTTCGAGATATATATATATTCAAAACAATAATAAAATCGTTACTAAAAGAACAATTGATAAAACTTGAAAAGGATTTTATACTCATGAGCTTTTGACCTAGATTTATAGAAAAAAACAAAAAAATACAAATTATATATTTTATTATCACATATTTGTTTGATTTCTTAAGAAAACAAAAACAATAACAAATGATTGTCGATATTATCAGCTGATTGAATAAAAACTAAAATCAATTAATTCTCAATATATATGAATAAAATTTTCTAAACACTATCTTATTCATAATCATTTGAGACTAATCTTATTTCCATTTTCTCTTCTAATTCCATTTCGTACTATAGATGTATTTCAATAAATATCATTTATTTAAAGAGAAAAACAAATGAATCAATCTATATTATCATATGGTTTTTTTTTTGTTGACAATAATTAAATTATCAATTATCAATTTTTTTGTCTTGTCATTTATATCAAATTTTTTGTTATTATGAAAGAAATATTTGATTTCAATTTGACAAACAGGACGTTTTTTTATCATTCATCATTTATAATTATACTGTCAACTACTTAACAATGTTATTATTCTATATTTATTTTCGATGAAATACTTACGACATAGACAGACGCATATAAGTATACTCTTGTCATCTAATTTGTTTTTCAAAAACTTCATTTAGCATGAAAGTGAGAATAAGATTTCCCGTTTTTTCATACCCGAAACGATCGATATTATCTCAAGTTTAATGGATATGAAAGAAAAGAAACCAAAAGAAGTAATGAAATATGAAAATAAATGTCGTCGTTTTATCATAACACCAGATCATATTTGTTTCATTTCTATGTGGTTCTTGTTATGAAAGTTTTATATATATATATATGTATGTTAATATCTCCTTGAAAATCTCAAATATGACATATGCACTATCTTTCTATCGTATCTTATTTCTCATAGTTAGTGATCGAGCGATAAGAGTACAGACTTAGATTTTTTATTTTGACTTCTTTTTTAAAATAATTATACAGAGTATATCGTGTATAATCAATTGAACTCTTGAACAGAACTATAAATACACACAGATTAGATTGTCAATTATTTTCATAAGTCTTTATTTTTGTTTAAATTATAAATTTATAAATATCATCAAAAATCTAGTTGTAATCTTCATAGAATTATATACACATATGAAGAAGAGAAAAAAAAGAGACCTTTTACCGATAAAATGAAAAGCATGACAAAAATAGAGAAAGAACTTAACTTGATAATATAGTAAAAGCGCATATTGTAATTTCTCTGGCATCGACAGCTATTTACTGAATCAGAAAGGAGAGAAGACAAAAAATAAGAGAAATAAGAAGAAAAGCTCTAGAAAACGGCATCACCCATGTCATCAGATTACCATTAACCAAAACAGACAGGCTATCGTGTCCAAATGATCTGTCATCAACAACGTCATACAACGACATCAAAAATAAAATTCTACGGGCCATTAATATTTTTACAGAAACAAAGGACAAAAGCTTCTTATAATTACAAAAATGACAACGGTGCTTACTTGTGACATTTCATTACAGTATCATCAAGGTCTTAGTTTTCTTTATTCTTGTTTTTTAAGTGGAATTACGTCGAAGTAAGAATATTATAATTTCCAGTTTTTCAAATAATGAATAAGAAAATGTTTTGAATTTTACACCCACTTGCTGTCATCACATTTTACATGGTGATATATAGATATAATACGTTTTTTTTTTCATTAACCGACTTCTTTCTTTTTTTAGTCATTTAATAAAGAGAAAGCGTACTCATTTTGACGATTAGGAGAAAAAGCTAATTCGAATCCATGGCTTCATTTTTTTTAATGATACAGAAGAGTGACTACCGGCATTTTTTTTCTTTAGATATATCTATGCAGAGAAAAAAGAGACAGAATATGCCCTATGATAGCTCCATTTGTAGTCGATTTTGCCACCGTCACTATTCTTTCTATCTAACAACCACTATAGTTGGTGAATAAATTATGTGATGATAAAGATAAAAGAAAGACGAGAAGAAGAAAAAAAGAAGAAGAAATCAATCAAAAGAAGAAAAAACATAACTAGAAATCGTTTTGTTCCTTCTTTTTTCTTCTCTATTCGATCGTTTATCCTTGTTCTTAGGTTAAAATTTGATGTTAGTCGTGTCGTATACTCGAATAATGTACTTAATTATCCACAATTACTTTGATAGATGATGAAAATGAATAGATATCTTCTTTTCTTTTTCTTTTCTCTCATTTTCTTTGCCTTCTACTACTTCAAAATTAATGATCACTAACTTGAATATATGCTGCAAACTTTTGTTTTTGTCTTCCTCTTTTTTTATATGCTCATGTGTTCATTTCAGATATGAATAGAGTTACAAACAAAACGTAACACAAAAAATATTTTTATAAGAGGGAAAAGAAAAATTATTGGCAAGTATAATCGATGATGCCATTTCCGTGGAAAACAATAGAATTTATATCTGTCTGTTTTGGCATTATTTTAATAATAGTATTAACAATTGGTGGTAATCTTGTCGTTTTATTTGCTTTTTGTAATGACCCACATTTGTTAACACCATCAAATAATTTTCTTCTATCTATGGCTATTGCTGACCTTCTAGTTGGCCTTATTTGTATGCCATTCTATTCGTAAGTTTTTACAAATAACAAGAAAAGAAATTAGTTCTTTTTTTTTCTGGTTTTTGAATAAAGATATGCTCAAATGCAAAATTTTTGGCCGTTTGGAAAACTTCTTTGTAATATATGGATTACTATTGATGATGTTGTAACCATGGCAAGTGTTCTATCAATTGTTGCTATAACTATAGAACGTTATTGGAGTATAAATCATAGTGTACATTATCGTCGTCATACAACAAAAACTCGTATACGAATATTTTCTATACTTATTTGGCTCATTCCATTTCTTAATTTTGCACCGGGCATATGGTTCCTTGAATCACATCAAGATACTCAATTATTAAATCGAACTGATATTAATATAACAACGAAAAAGAAATTTGAATGTATTGGTGCATATCATTCACATACATTATATTTAATTATTGCTCAAATAAATTTTTTTGCTTGGCCATTAGTGGTTATTATTGTACTCAATGCTCTAATTGTGGTCAATCTTTATAGACGATCACATCGTTTTCCCGTCTTTGCTAGTTTTCGAGTACCACAATGTAAACAACAGCA